AAGCAAGTCTACAGCCGTCAACGTCTGTTCTGGAGTATGATCAGGGCTTAAAAGGTTCCCCCGAGGAGTTTTATTTTAAACAAATAAACAGAAACGAAAAAACCCTGTCTACATCCAGTGTTTCTCATCAAATCAATTTGTATGTATCCTTGAGATCTAAAAATGTGTTTATTGCATTTCATTACTCAAAAAACTAGTACATTTTCATATTTTAACACATATTGTTTAGATTCATGTTTACTTGCTAGCAGTCCTCTTCTTCACTACCTTTGTTGGTGCATGACTAAATTTAATGGGATGGTACCACCACCAATTGAACGCTGGTGGCTGCGCATGTTCATCCTTGTGCAAGTGCATGATATAGACAAAACAGGGTCCCAGACATAAAGACATTGCTCAGTAATGTTAGTAATTAAAGTCTCCACTGTGCACCTTTAAGTGGCTTTTATGTAAAATCAGTAAAGTGACCCTTTAATAGAGGTCTGTCCGGCAATTACATTTATGTAAACAAACATATAAAGAGACCATTGGTTCATCACTTCAAAAAAAATATACATATCAAGTTTAATCAAGAATTAAAATCAGAAAAAAAAAAACATTAAGAGAATCAGCCAACTTGGCATCTACTGCAAGACTATGACACTGTACTGAAAGAGGTTTCAGTTATTTTATCCATCCCCTGTAGCTGTGACACACAACTAGTCAGCCACTTGCCAGACAAGAGTTATTCTGAGACAGGGTTTTTTCCCCTTCCACACAATGAAATATGGATAAGAGTGGCGGGGATAGTGGGCAGCTGTCAACGAATTCCACAGCTTCCCGCCACCACTGATCAATCAGTCCCGTATCTGAACCACAACAGTGCTGACCCGCTGGCTAGAGCTGACATTAATCCTAAACCTTCCAGTCAGTGTGGAGGAATGACAGGACACAACGTGGTGGTGGAAGCGAATGCTGATACAGGCTCTAACAAGGAAAGGTGCTGATGCTAATGAGTGTATCTGTGGCTCTTTAACGAGCCTGCATCGTTTTATGCCCTAATTTACAGTGAGCTGTGTCTCAGGGGTGCAGGATAATGAGCTGGCCCGGGATTCCCAGGGCAGCAGCTTGTGTAACCCACCTCATGCAGGGGACACTCACTCCCACCGAGTGTAAGTGAGAGACAGACAGTAGCAGAGGGAGCAGGAAGGACATACTCAATGTCTGCAGGAGAGAGGAGGGGGGCGTGAGGGAGGAGGGTGGGGAGGTGGGCACATGTCATTCCTGCTTGATATACTTGTTTGTTACACACCAATCATTGAATCGCTGCAACCAAGTGAGATAAGCTTGTGTTCTCTGTGACAAACTGACCTTGGGCAACAAGAACAGTCACAGAAAGAGGAAATGGAGAAGGAAAGCATGGCGGGTAGAGGAGAAGAACAAGCTTTAGAGAACAGAGACTAAGTGTTGTTGGATTTGATCCTGATCAGCAAACGTCTGGTCCTTAAAGACATCCCTTACCTTGCTTTCCCTGTGCTTAGTGCAATCACATTTTTCCCTCCCTTTTACAGAGCAACACTGAAAAATCTGGCTCTTAGTGCACTCCAAACCAAATTAGCAAATGTGGAGCTCAGTGACCTCAGTGTAGAGACCATCCACAGAGTATGCGGTGTGCCCTACCACCCCCACCTCTTACTGCTGTGTCTGCATGGCTGCATTAGTCAAGCTCAAATGGGTTTTTCCGCCATGCGAAGCAGAGCATGACATGCGCTAAACAATGGCAGGCAGATGACGAGCCAGCTCCATTTGATGATGGCCTCTGCCGACGTGGGCACTTTTTTTTGATGTGGCGGAATATAAGGGCAGCATGATTCATTAGGGTGCACAGGTGGCCCGGGATCTAATGAGTCACATACTGTGTAGCTGTAATGTGCAAATAGCTCAAAGAGGGATGGACATGCCAAAAACAAGCTTGTTTTAGATATGAGTTATGATTTTTCTCAATTTGATGAAGATGTGCTTTTCCTAGTATATTTAAATCTGAGAGTAAAGTGCTAGTCAACAGAAAAGGTTCCCAAAGCAACAGAGGGGACACATTCAATACTACACAGTTCATACCGTGGCAATGGCCATTAACATTAGTTTGCCACAATGTGAAACTACATCTGCTGCTTATATCTTTTCATTCAATCGGGACATTATGACTAAACATCTTAAAAGTCAAGAGTCTTACATGTTGTTATTTTAGGCAACTAAAAGCTGTCATCATCATCTACTTAATAATTATATTAATAATAAATAGACACAGACTATTTCTGACAATTAACTTTCGGATGACTGTTTGTCAAAGTGAGAATGCCACTGCTGGTGTGTCTTCTCAGTCTCAGCTATTAACACTGCCCCCCTCTGGCTAGCTGGCTGCCTGATTAGAACATTGTTATTGCAATTGATCAGATATTGAGTACAAAGGAGAAAACTATAGCATGAGAGGCATTTTGTTCCATATCTAATAAGAGATATCCCCTAAATAAGAAAAAAGCAATTTATAAAATATACAGTTATATGTAATTTGGCACTGTTAACAGTTCTTAGAGTAACAAAACAAACTTCAAACATTATAAATCTATCTTTGCTTCAGTATCTTTGGATATTACAAAAAAGTATGCTTCAAAATTACTTTGTTTTAGCATGCTAGTCAATTCATCTCAGGAGCCACAACAATTCAAATTGTACCTGATCTATTAACTGCTCGCCACTGAGCACCGTTTGAACGTTTGACCTTCTAACACAGCTCATGACATTATGTTGACATTTAAAGTAATCCCTCCCACGGTTCTTAATCCCAGTGGCCGTGGACTGCCCTGACCCATCCTCTGAGCTCAAGCCCCTAACGTGCACTCGCCACACACTGACAGAAAAGGCAGCAAGACAAACACAACTCCTGATACCCAGACAAGTCAACAACACCGCCGTGCTTTAGAGGGCTCATGGGGCTCAAAACATGCAGCGATGAAAGGGCTTGTTAATTATCATACACACACTGAAGCTTTAAGTCACACGCTGAGATTCAAAGTGTAACAGGAGGACAGACCCTGTTCGTGCATCTCGTGTATTACCATTACAATTGAGTCACATATTTTAACATAGATGTTCCCAAAAAAATAAATACCAGAACAAGAATCATTTCAAAACAATTACAGCTGTTCTGAAAGTATCTCCTGAATCATTTAAGACACTAGATGAGATGATTAAAAAAAAAGATTTTTAGCCTGAGATGCCAACATTTTAACAATAAAGATTGTGATCGTCACTGCCACTAGATGTAGCACCAGACCAGCAGCACCTCAGACCAAAACAAATGCGTCGTCGGCCACAGCTCCGGCCTTTCTTAGGCCACAACCCCCGTTTCTGTCCCTTCATGTTCTCAGTCAATAAGGTGTTACGAAGTCCGGTGAAAGCGGCCACTAAATACACAACAGGGAGCACAAATGAGTTAAGTTACCCTGTGTACAACAGAGCCACCAAACACCATCTAGCCGCAATCATTAGCCCACGCTAGCATTGCCGTGATATGCTCCTAGCTAACCACAGCAACATTTGCCGAACACATTTATAATATTGCTATCAGCAAGTCAGCTAATGCTAACATTTCTTCTGTAACCAGTTACGAATGAAAACAGACATGTAACATTATGTACTTATCAAGTTACTTACTAGGAGAAGAAAAGCCAGTTCCGAGTCATGCTGGAGCCCTTTAGCAGTTCGTACGGTTCTCCATCTCGGTAAAGCCAGACCTGTATTAGCTCCACAGTCTAATTGGGAAAAGACTTGTCCTTTCACTTGACCGCTGGGGCTGGGCACCGGAATGACTGATGAAACCGGTAAAAACTTTAAAAACTTTATGGATGTTTTGACAGGTCACCGACCGACCAGGATTGAGCTGGTATTCTCCATGGCCAGTCCGCCTGTGCTCTGGTCTCATCTCTTTCTTTGTCAGAGTCCTTTTTAGGCGAAAAGTGTGATTTTCTTCGGTGGAGGACATTTTTGAAGGCCACTTTCACCTGCACACCTTACTGCACTACGCCATCTTGCATGTGGGAGGTGCCAGTGAGTTTACAAATGTGGGGAGGGCCAATGGTTTAACAGGGAGGGACTCACGTGCACTAACATGCACAGGTACATGCACTAACATGCACTCGCGGCTAGACTGGCTACCAAAGCTAAGAACTTGGATCAGAACACATATGGAGGCTGTTTGCTCCGGACACCATCCCTCCATTATACATTTACATAGAAAATAGTTCTTTCTTATGTAATTGGTAAGATTTTTCCAGCTGATTAGGGAAAAGAGGCAAAAAAACTGTGCAGTGGACAGAATATTTTTATCCAGATGTTGTTAAATAACCCTCTGGGTTTTTATTTTTTTTGTTTGTTTTTTAAAGATCTTTTTTTTTTTTTTTTAAAGAGTAGGGTTACGGTTAGGGTATCTATTTTTGGAAAGTCAGATGCTTAGTTGTGCTTAGGCACAATGTGAAGCTAACATGAGGACTGCTAGAAAGAGATTTTTTGTACATTTCATTCTACTCTTTTAACCTAATGAAAAGACAGTAAATTTACCAAACTACTCAAGATACACAGGAGATAGTCACTACTTCTTCTGCAGCTTCTTCTTTGTCACAACACAGGTTAAGAGGAATAATGAACATATGTCTGAAATTGTGTAACTGCAAACAATAAAGCTTGTACTGCATGGCATACTGTAATCAGTGTCTCATATAACTAATCATTTTCTGATATTAACACGTGTGTTTGATAATGTCTTCTATTAATCCTTGGTTCTTACAGTGGAGACACCTTTTACTTTTGAGCCGGTCAAACTGTATTTGACCGGTTGTTGTTTTTTGTTGTTTCTTTGTTTGTTTTTTTTCCTTTTCTTTAAAATTGTAGAAAGTTTCAGTAGTGCAACAAGCCCAAACAGTAAAAAGTGATGAAATGAGAGGTACAAGATGACAACCCATTTATTTAGTAATACATTCTGCAAACTAGAAATTTTATTCAAACTTCAAAGGCTAAAAAATGAAAGAAAGGAGGGAAAGAAGGGGAAAATTTTTAAGGAGCAAGGAGAAAAATGCATCAATTCACAAGCAAGGAATGCAATTTGTTCAATCAACAACACAAATAGTACAATTTAGTTCAGGGAACAAAGCTTTTTTAAACATTTTCCTTTTTTTGCCATTCCTTTGGAGCTAGAACATAATACAAAATATACAGTTATTGAACTTTGTAAAATCACTCACAGAGGCCTCTGAGAAGCATTTGAATAAACATTGACAATACTTATCTACAGCACTCTAAAGCTATTCTTGAAGGTAATCATAAATATAGCAGACATGAATGTATGTATGCACATTTTGAATGCTTACGAGGTTACCATGTTAAAACACTTGCATTTGTTAAAAGTATGACATCATCTGCAGTGGAAAGTTAAATAAGCTTTCAATACCGAAATTCAATAAGATAGGAAAAAAAAAAGCATACAAACCAGCAATGGTTGAAAAGTTGTACCTTGTGACAACCAGGACAAAGTCACTTTGTTGATAGCTTAAGTACCCTAACATGGAGACAGTTTTTAATCTGTAAGAGTGTAACGTCAGCAGCATTACTCCTCATAGTGTTTTGTTGAACAAGTACTTTAGGGGGCAACATGAGATTGGGTAAGGCAAATCGGTGAGCTTATTTATGAGCTGAAAAAGGTCAGCAAAGTGAGGCTCAGGTCGCCCTGCAAGGGGACAAATAAAACCACCACTGCTAAGGGTCACACAGTAAACGCCACCACTGAGGTACATCAATATGTACAAGAGGGCACAAGCGTTTTAAAATCTCTTCAACTTCTGCCAGGTAGTCCTCCGTACAAGAATATACAGGATGCATTCCAGGCAACCAAAGGTAACTCTGTAAATAGCTTTATATTCTTTTTTTCTACAATAACAATTTTCTGAAAAAAAAAGCTGATTATACAGATGATCAGTGCATATGACTATTGTCATTTAGTCACACCTATTTTCTCACACATCTCACATTTCTAAAACCCTGAACTTTCAACAATTCTAGACTGGAGCTAAGTGAGCATCACACAAGTGGAAAAAGTTGGTGAAATTACACAGGTGAGCATCTGAGGACACTGTTTGTGAGGGGTGGATCAGCTTACACGACAAGGCCAATAGTGTTCCTAGTTACTAATATAAGTTATCATTTGCAGTAGCCACCTAAATCATTACTTGTTTTGTACTATTCAGTCCAATACTGTACATGAGCATAGGCTTACCCCACTTAAATAGCTCAGTGTTAAAATCATAATGTTGTAGGGGGAGAACCATATGAAAACGGCTCTGATTAAAGTGAACTGCTTTCTGAACAGTTTGGATCTACATAGCATGACACAAAAACACTTCCTATAAATGTTATGAGGTATTTCAGTTCATGAAAAATTAAAATAAGGAGAATAGATGCTTGAGGGGATTTTTTCTCTTTTTTTTTCTTTCTTTCTTCTTTTTTTTGGGTAAATTTTTTGTTGAGGAAAGGGAATTAATATAAAACACCCAGATGTGACAAATCACAGCCAAGTCACTGTCAATAATCTGCTAACATTCCAGCTACAGCAATTTTGTCTTAAAAAAATGTTAATTTCTACATATATGATTTTCTGAAATAAGTCTCAGCATCATTTAAGGGCCACATCATGAATTGTACAATTTCTGGGATAAAATGCAGGACAGTCCAGTGGCATGGGTGTATCAATGGCTTCAAGATGCAAGGAAATGTGTTTGTTCTTTATTAAACTTGAAGAAAAAAATTGCGTGAAATGTTGCTTTAAGGGTCATCAACATCTACCAGATTTGCAACAAGCAGCTGGGTGCTGAAAACTGTTTGATAAGAGAGACATTTAGCGCACTTGCTTAACAAATACAGGCAATGCAGCAGAAAAAAAGAGCTTACAGAGGAAATATAAACTGCTTAACTAAATAAAATTAAAAACAAGGCATTATACGCACTGAGTTTTTTCTCAAACACTCTGGATAGATTGAGTTTTTGTTTTACATGATGTGAGTACAGTAGTAGGCTATGTGTAAGTAAACCAAAAAGATGTGAATTGAAAGACATTTTTACTGTTCTGCTGTTTTCTTTTTTTGTTGTAATTTTTGCTTTTTCATGGGAAGGAATAATCAGTGAAATCACATTTTCATGCAAACAAACACAAAGAAATCAATTTCCTGAACTGTTATTCATGTTTTTAGTAAGATGACTGTTTAAAGGTACCCTATGGAGTTTCCACTGTGAACGTAGTTAGGTTTACATTCATCACTGCTTAAAACATTGTCTTTAAGGCTTATCAAACAATTCCATACCTCACACAACATTTCAAAGGCTTTTCTTTTTGTTTGGAAGCCTGCACTTTTTGCATCAGTTTACAGTGTTATTGTCTCTAATTGGTTCAGTGGCACGTCTATGCCAAGTTACCATGACACCACCTGTTGAGACACACATCGCTGCCTCCTGTAGCTGGCAGAAGTGCATTTCATGTCATACCATGTGCTTGTCCGGTACGTTTGTCCTTGTGCACGTGCTAGTGGAGCAAGGATCCACTTATCATAACATTTCTCTACAGCACCACCAGTGGTCAAAAACTCCACAGAGTACCTTTAAAAACTAACAACAAAACATTTCAAAATAAAGTTGCTCTCTAATACCTTAACACTTTTAACATCTTTTGCAGGGTTACAGCTAGGCTCTCCTTTATATTGTTACGTCTTGTAATATAGCCTTCGCAATTCTGAGTGGTCTTTGGCCTTTTTGCCACAAAAGCATATAATGAAGCAGCTAATTTAGGATTATAGTCAAATTTAAAATCTGTACTTTGTTAAAGATTTTATAATTTGCTACCCACCACAAAGCGATGAAATAGTTAGGATTGTCATTTTGATAAATGAAGAATTACAAATTTAGCACTACTATTGAGTATTATATAGATGAAACCCTCAGCGTTGATCAGAGGGACATCAAAGTGATTAGAGGGACACCTTTGTTTGCCAAAACACACAAAAATTCAACTAACCATCCCAAGACAAACCAGAATCACATTTTGTCCATGGCAAAAAAAAAACTAACTCAAGCAACATGATTTATTCCTTGAAAGTTTAAGTCAAAAATATATACATACATAAATTTCCAACAATGCAATTTTAGACAAAAAATGGCAGAAAATAAATCTGAAATAAAACCATTTCTCTTCAAGAAATATATCTACTGTGTGTGTTAGATACAGATATAGTCAATGACTATTCATCTTTTCAAGAGGGGAATCAACTGGGAAAAAAATGAACCCACAGATCATACACTATAGCAGCAAACTGTATTGTGCTCTGGCTTGTGGTGGCGAAGGGGAGGGTTTTAAGCAGAGCAAACCCAATGGGAATAAAAAGGTGCTATACAACCATGAGAACTCATTGCAGTTAGTGGATTTGTTCTTGGTTTGAAAGTCCAAATAAAGAGCATGTGGAAAAAAAAGCCTTGTAAGTTTTAGAGTCAACAGTTTCTCCTATCTTAAAACTAGTAATTGGGTGATTTTCTCTAAAACAGTCAGTGCTTAAACGGTTCACATCAGACAAATTATCAAATGTTAAAGGTAGAAGCTAAAAATCTATCTGTACCACGTACAAAAACTGAATCTCATGGAAAAAAACTTGGCATAGGCTGTCATAAAGCTGAAACAACTGATCATAAATTATATGGCACCCACAGTGGGCACTGGTAACAATGAATGTTTAGAAAGCAATATTAAAATATGACACAATAGATGTGTAAATTAGTCAAGACCTGACTAGCTGCAAACCATTGTACACCATGGGTAAATTGAACTACTTGTGTCATCTCAGATATCTGTATAGTTCTGATATATAGCTTGAAGTTGTTCAAATAGCGTAACAGCATGTAAACTCTGTTATCCAAAGCTTTTTGGAATAAGAAGTAGTGAGAGCCTGTCTTGGGTTGATATGGAACAATGGCTGAAAAAAGGGGCAGGCAATGGGTAAGCACTGGGCAATTCCCTTAAGCTCCAGCCTTGTCTGTTGTCTGAACCACCTCAGCAAATTTGAATTAGAGTCGCACACACAGATCTGCCTTTACACTAACGTACGTGCGCACATACATACACACAAGCACCCACGCACGCTTGCAAGTATCTATCCGCACACACAAATGTGTTAACAGGGGTATTTTTTTTCATCAGACGCCTCAAAGAAATGAAAAAAAGATTTTTTTTTGCTTCACACTTCCAAACTGAGAAACACTTTGCCATTATTATTTGAGCATGTACAGAAAACCACTTACAAAAATAAAATACAATAAAAAAGCACAGGGAAAAAAATAATTAGGATTTAAATGGTTTGATATAGAGAGCTTACTGTGCTGTCAACTATACAATTTACCCGTTTCTTAAAGGAGCATAGACTAACTGAAAAAAAAGAAAGAAAGAACGAACGAAAGAAAAGTAAAAGCGCAGAGACATTGTGCCTGGAGGACAAGCAGTAATATCCACTGAACAGACATTTGTTAGAATTCCAGAAGAGCAGGAAAAGGCAGATAGTGCATAAAAGGTTCTCTTTTTCATTTCTTTCATTTTTTAACTTAAAATCAAGCTGCATTAAATACAGGCTGTTTGTACAGGACAATTGCACTTCACAAAAACAGAAATATACAAACACACACAAGGAAATGTGAATCAAATTAATTACAGCAAAAAATTGTACTACTTAAGCTGATTATTTAACAAAAAGAAAGAAAACCTTGCGGACTCACTTGTTATGGATTACTTTAGAGGAGAGTATTTAGGTGGGTGAACATAAATGGGAGACAAGACGGTGAGGATCCTGAACTCCAGAGTGGACTGGTGCTGCACTATTCCAGGTTTGTGTGCATGCAACTCCTCTTCCTCCTCCTCCTCCCATGAAATTCCCTTCTTAGAAACCAAAAGCTCAGAGTGACGGCGAGACAGACTGCTGAGCTGAGCTGCTGTGGGTCTTGAGAGGATGGTGGTTTGTAAACTCTATGCTGTGTTAGTGGTAGGAGGTTGTGTTACCACATGTCGTCTGTGGATGCAGAGTCCTTAATAAGAGAGGAGAGGAAGGAAAAACCCTTCAGACTCTGACTCTACATCCATGAGATCTCTAGCAAGAGCTGGACAGGTTTAAGCATGTATGATACAAACTGATAGATAATAGAAATCATCCAGGAGTTCATAGCGACATTTGTGTTTCAACACCATCACCTTCAACATCTAGATGCTGGAGATAACAGTACATTTTACCAAATGTAGTGTTATTTAAGAATGCAGCATTAATTCACTTCTCAAGTATACAACAGCTATATACCATGGCCATAAAAATGTACTCATTTTCTGATATGTGTCAAACCTAATTGTAAGGCCACCTTGTTCTGTATCATGGTTAACTTAATGCAAACCAAGTACTGGTTAAGAATATGATTCAAGTTTATTCAACAGTTTGCTGAACTCATAGCAAATATCTAAATTTTTAAAACAACTATTCTGGCGGTTGATGCTATATGCTGTATACTATATGGAAGCTCTAAACTATAATCAAATGTGACACAATAATTGGTCTTACGATCTACAAACTAATCCATTTAACTGTAAATAGATGCTGCTGGAATTTATTTACATGTGACATTATGCCCTCTATGCCAAAATGTGACTGATTGGGCTGAGGATATGATGAACTCATAAAGCAGACTGAGACACATGCCAGCTATATGGTCATATTTAACAACAAGCAAATGTGAAAATGGATTAATTTAATATAATAACTACATGTTAAGAGCTTAAGCATATACTTGTAATAATGGCTTCCATTATTTTCATAACTCATTTAAGTGCCATGTTATCTTACCACTACATGTAAAATACTTCACTGACAATCTTGTTAGCCAATCCTAAGGAGAGGTTCCACGAATGGAGTACTATCTACTAAAATAAACCTTATCAAAGCACATCCTTTCTTTGTTGCGCAAATATGCTCTCCTGTACAACGGCTGACCATAAGAGCATATGGGTCACATATGCGAGTGAAAATTAGAAAGCAGCAAGTATAAGAATAAGACAACAGGATGAGCAAAATACAGAAGTTTCAGGGAGGTCTCCCAGACCATCAGTGCATGTTCTTGAACTAATATTTGGAGCAAGTATACATGTGTATCCATTAAATTTTACTATGCATACTGAGCATACTTGCCATATTTTTTATCTTTTGGGATGAGTCAACTTTCTCCTTATCTTACGTTCAAGTTGCGGTTTGAGCGTGCACTAGTCTGCTGCATCATTTAAATGAGTTCAACTTTCCGATCAGCCTTGGTATGAGCAGATACCCAATATATAGTTTGTCCAAAAGTCTGAGACCACTTTCCCTCTGACCCTACTGTATAAATATTGGAGGAAAAAAAAAATTCGATTGGGACACCCATAATGTTTTTGCATGGAGTAAAATCACCTGGGTGCAGTAAGTGAGCTGTCCATAACTAAGCTGTCTGCTAGTAGACAAACTAGCTTCAGAAGCTTTCTGCTTCAGGATATCATTACAGTTTCTGTAAAGGTCTACAAATAATAATAATAATAATAATAATAATAATAATAATAATAATAATAATAGGTAATAAACATTTTTGTTTTGCCAAATTAAAGAAACACCACAAAGAAAAACAAATAAACAAAAGAATGATAGAATTGCACCTCCCTACATTGTGCCGAACAAACACCTCAAAGCTTCCCTGCATTCAGGCCATTTACATTTCGTTTTTGTACTATTGCCATTTACCGTTTAAAATATTTGCATTTACTTTCATTTTACAAACAAACTGTATACCGAAATACGAGTAGCGTACTATAACTCCCTACTAAAGTTGATGTGAAGTTGATTTTTTTTTGGTGAAAGTAAAGTATATACATTTTTTGTTTGTGTGTTATCATTATTATTTTACCAAAACATTTTTGAAATGTGTTAGTCTTTTGCACTGCTGTGATTTTTATGGATAGAAATTGTCGATATAATTCATAAAAGGTATTTTGACGAATATTTTCCCTAAAGACAAGCAAACAAAATGGAAAATGTGTAACAGTAAGGTATGTCTTAGACTAAGTTTCTCCCCCTATTTAAAATGTCAATATTATGATTTTGGCTGTTTATAAATTGCCCACATGGTCCAGCCCTTAGGAAGTAGCTTCTGTTATGTTATTGCCACTTCTTTGTTGTGAATCACAACTTAAAAACAAAAAAAAAACCAAAAAAAAAAACCACAAAAAACCCTTCTGAATTCCAGGAAATAGTACTGGCAGTTGTCAAATGTGATTATTTCTGGTGTAGGCATAATCATTACCCTCACAGAGATAATTAAATATACCTACCACAGAGTCTCCAAGGTTATTCACAGATTACACACAAAGCATCAGAAGTTGTATTCAGCTGGGCTGACCTATTGCCACATAGCACTGTATGCAGTCTGTATGCAGCTGTGTTCTTGATTACATCCGACATCCTTTCTTGTGGAGATTTTAGTAATATGTTGTGCTTTTCCACAATAGTGACCAGAATGACACTCTGTTCACAAGTTTTACTAAATAATGCAATCAATTGTACTGCCCTAATGATCCCATGGCATTTTCTGTATTCTGTGGTGGTACAATACGAATTTATAAAGGGCTATTAGGATTTCTTCAAAGATCAACACCATGCCTTAATAAAGGTTCACATCTGACAGTGAATATATTGTATATTCAGCCAAACATTACCTATTAATGTGAAGGTCTCATCCGTAGAACTAAAAGACAGAATGAGCTGGATGGATACATCCAGGGAAGGATATAAGACAATATCTTCAGTGCTGAAATTTTACAAATCACAGCAGGCTCCATGACTAACTAAGCAACCAGGCAAGGTGGATAGGTTTGACCACAACACCAAGGACGACTCAGACAGTGCAACAGATGAGAGCTATGATGAAAGATGTGACTGGGGGGATTTGAAAAAAAAAAAATACAAAGAGCTGAATGATGAAATATCAGTGGTTTTAAAAAGGAGGCACATAAAGACTGAGAGCACGACTCAAACAGACTGTGTGGTCTATTAAAACCACAGAACTGTTCAGTTACAATGCTACGTGTTGTCAAGCACGGTCCCAAAAGTATCATTTCATTTGCAGCAGCTACAATAATACTAACAATGAACTTGGCCAAATATAGACAAATTCTAAAGGGGAATAAAGTGGGATATAGTACTAAATACAGGTGATTTAAAAAGAATGATCCCAGTGCACTACAGGTGTAACAGTACAGTCACCTCACTATTAGGTATGATGCACTGGATTTTTGAATCAATAAAATTGAAAACATTTGTATTTGTTTCTCTTTAAGTCTTAATTAATATGTTGATATGCAAATTTATTTTGATGATTTCATATTTTAAGTGTGAAATACTATGCAACATTAATCTTAGAGTCGTTTGGTGCTTAGGCCAGACTTCAAATTTGAATTTCATTAAGAATTATTGTAATAATCTTGAGAAAGATGACACAAATGTGTCCAAGGAGACCTTAAGGTTGAAATGCTGCCAAAGGTGGATCAAATTACTACTCAATTAAAAGCCCGAATACAGTAACAAATACTGTGTATGGTTTCTCAAGAGCCGCTTTCAATTAATTTGCAAACATTTCCAAGAACCTAATTTCACTTTCTACCATGGAAAAGCTTTGTGTGGACTGGTGGCAAAGAAAACCTTAATTTAGCCCATTTTGTATTTAGGCCACACCACATAATACAGACAAGTCAAGGGCCTGATGGCATTCTAAAGGTACCCTAATTTCAGAAATAATTCAATGTGTGAAAGTAATTCAAAAAGTCTATCATACAAACATGAAATACTGAAACAAAGTGCCAATTTTACATGGTCAAGGACAAGATGAGCTGTGCACAATTATATAGCTGAGCCAGTGAACTTATCTGATGAAAATTTAAAAGCACCATATCTGACTAGCTTTGTGGTCTGTTTGTATACAAAGGACTAATGAGCAATGCTCCTTTAAAATCAGTATGTAAGAGAATGCAGTTTTTATTCCATCCACACAAACGGCAGATAATTTCACTTATTAGCTCTTTCCTCTTTGATTTAATGAGCACTAATTATTGAAATCAGATCATGTGGTATGAGACTGAGCCTTTTTTGGCACAGGACCTGCAATGCACTTGTGGTCCTTTGTCAAAATTAAAGCAAGCTTTGTGACTGAAGAATCACTATGACTATTTAAGAGAAACAATTGGACCATTTTCTGCTGGTGTCACCCATACAGAAAATTGTAGTATTACAACAATTGATGCTTTTATCCATTTTCTCCGTTTTTTAGATTTGCATAAACTGGGCAGAAGGCATAGAGATACCCTTGACAGGTCACTATGTCCTTACATTATGAATAAATCTCACTTGGCAACAAGCCTACGTCCTTGTTCCATTTTGTTGAATACTACTGACATGCATAAAATTGGTTAAAACTTGCTCGTCACACAACAAGCATGCATACTCCAAACAAAGCACACTTACTGGGAGTTAAAGACAAGCTGGGATACTTACTGTGTCATCACTTCGGTAGGGGTTGAGTTTGTTGTACACCGCTTCAATAACACTTCGTCTAAGGGAAAGAAACAGTATATAAATATTAAATATTGGTTTTCATTCAAATTTTTAAAAATGGGAAATTGTGATTAAACTGACAATAACTTTCAGAAAGAAAGATTTGTCATTACTTGATGATGTCCTTGTCAATTCTAACCACAAGGTTCACTCACTTGCTTGCCAGCTCTCCTCCAGGGGGGAGGTTAGGGATGCTCTCAGATGCTAACGTCCGCATAACATGGACCAAATCTGGGACACCTTCATCCCCCTGCTTTTTGATGATCTCTGTTAGAAAACAAAATTATATTGTTTTGGATCCTTTTACAAGAATGTACAAGAGTGCTTCTAAAAATTATCTGATTGATTTGTACATATTTACATGTGCAAAACAATGTGTGGCAGAGGAATGTTATACTTGAAAGCCCCTTATTCATCATGTTTAGACTGAAGAATATTAGAGTATGGTTGGGTTTTGTTAATATTGAAATGATGCACTTTAATATTGTTTTATAATAGAAACACTCCCATTCATTAATATAAAGGGGGTGAAGAGAGAGCCAATAGATGTTTTTGTATCAGAATACACATGTCTGTTCATCTTGGAAGATGGATCCCTGCTCTATGGCTTTTCTGAGGATTCTTACTTTTTTGGGGGGAGTTTTTCCTCAAGTGAATCAAGGGGTCTAAGGGTTTTGTATTCTGTGTAGACTTTTAAGCCCTTTGAGGTAAATTTGTGATTGTGGCCTCTATAAATAAAAACACACCGACTTTGCCTCCTGATAGAAAGTATAGGTTTGGTAGTGTAACACTCAAAGGGAGTGGCAATGATTTTTGAGATGTATGGCCACCTACCCAACAAAGCTCTGGTTGACAAATACCTTTTCCTGGTTGTCAAGTCACGATTGAACAAAGAGTGTTAAGATGAAATCATCACCAATTTTCCAAAACACTAAAAATGGCACTGATGTGTACTGTAACACACTATGGATTGTAAATAGTTAAGTTCTTTGCTCAAAAAAGTTAATGTAATTGATGGTTGTGTATTTTGGATCTTGGACTCCTAAGCTTATGTGATCAATATCTATTGACCAAAACACATAATTACACAAAGTGAGAACAAGTATTCAACAGCATGATAAGTTACTTGCTTCAACATATGTATGTCAGGTAAGATTCAACATTCCTCTAACAGAATAGGCCTTTAGCTTAAAGCATTTTCAATAAAATCTTTAAACATCTGAGTTGTGCCAATAAACTTTACTTTATGTGTAGAGACTGAACGTTGAACTGTTAGTTGGTGTTTCAAACCACACCCTCCCTCTCTCCAGTCTCTCCAGCATGATTATAACAAACATAACAAACACTTTAACATAATCATTGTAAACTATTGATAGAGACCTTCCTGAGATATTATGTCTGATCTAATTAAATTAAATCACACGTAATATCTCAGGAAGGTCTAAATTAAATTAGATCTATCATTTTTTTTTAATCCCGTCAGTTATGTCTAATGAAGCAGACCACAATTCATTATAGTTACAGAAAATATTTAAATACCTAGATCATACTAAGTGAGGTGTTTGCCTATTTTTAAATTCTGTCCTTCCTGACCACTGTAGGTGTTCTGTGACCATAGGTCGATCAAAGAAAAACAATTGTTCACACAGCTCTGGCGTATAAACATTTGATAACTTTTCTATTAGCATAGATGTTACTGAGGCTGGCATTATTAAAAAGTCAATGTAAAAAATTAAAGTTGCAAGCAGCGATGAACAGGCCCTCGAACTCCTGCGCACCTCGGGGGGGCTAGCAGTGCGCCATTCGAAGCGGTTGCACATCATAACGACCGCCAGACACCGCACTCATGGGGCAAGACTTATTGCATAGACCGTGCGGCAGCAGAAAAGATTTAAAGCATTTTTTATGCATTCTTATTAAAAAGTCAATGTAAAAAAATAAGGAAAATGTGGGGTTTACATTGAACAAGGAGAATAATATAAGCAGAAGGAAAAGAAATTATTATGCCAAAGCCCCAGTTTTTATGGTGATCTACAAAGGCAAAATATAACTTTTCTCCCCTACCTTCTACTCTGGCCTCCAGATATTTATCCAGCTCAGCCTCCCGTTTAACTGCTTCTGGAGATACCTTTGGGGCGCCAGGAAAGCAGATTAACACGACACTCATATTGTCCCGGCTTCCCTGTGGAAAACGAAGAACAAACATGGAGGTCAAGTAAATGAACCATGATACCAAAACAGAGAAGTGTGTAAGTTTTGTGGACACGACATACCTTGTACAAGCAGGTGTCAACAATTTCATTGCTGACTCTTTCAAGATCATCTGTCACCTCTAGCCTTGACCTAACAAACTCACACAGTTCCTCATTGGCCATGACATCCCAGATGCCATCACAAGCTAGTATAATGAATTCATCTTCCCCTTCGCATCTCTCTATTGCATAAACTTCAGGCTCAGGAGAAACAAGCTGCTCTGTAGGGCCTTTTCCATGCACACATTTGTAGTCGAAGTCTCCCAGAGCCCGAGAGACAGCTAGGGACCCATTAACTCGCTGGATCATGACTGAGCCACCGGCATTCTGGATCCTTTCCTTCTCCAGAGGGTTGCTTGGTTTGTGATCCTGTGTGAAGAAGTGCACAGCTCCGCCCCGGCTGAGGAGCCCCCGTGAGTCGCCACAGTTGATAAAGTAGGTATGGCTTGGAGAAATCATCACTCCCACTGCGGTGGAGCCACTGCGGTCCACACCATGCTTCTTCTCGGAGATGGTTCGCATGTGTTCATCAATCTGCAGAAATCCTGTGCGGATCCCATTCTTCACACTATCCACAGAGGGGTCCTCCTGCAGAGCACTCTGGAAGTCTGAGTTGGTGGTGATGTGCTCCAGCAGGTGCTCACAGCAGTACTTGGCCACCTGAGAGCCAGCATGCCCATCATAAACAGCAAAGAATGACCAGAGGTCGAGGCTATGAGGCAGACCAATTACTGCTGTGTGTGCATCTTCCATCTCTACCCGCCAACCCTGCATGCTGCTCAGCCCATACCTCAGGTTGTTACCCTCACCATGGGAATTATATTTTTCCATCTTTGGTTTGTCCAGAAATGCACCCATTGTGTCCCTCTTAAAACCTGTAACACAAATTAAAAGAGAAAAATCTATTTACAATAAATAGCATACACTTTGTGTTTACTAGTACAGCCAGTAATGTGAGAACTGTGTGGAAATAGTCAGTTTCTAATTGTGTTATTATGTAAAGGGACCTTGGAAAAATACACATACTTAATATCTGCTTCTACACAGAAGGGCACAATTTTGTATATTAATTAGGTTAAAACAGAACATCATCCATTTATGGCAAATGATTAGCATCTTGGAGCTGAGTTCAGGCCCCCTGCTCTAGTCTAAAAATAGTAGACCTGTGGACACATTTTTGCTAGGCTACATATTAGGAACACTGCTAGTGTGGATCAAATTGAAACGCCCTTAGACCACTGGCTGATCAAGTTTAGCGTGAAATGTTCTGACACAAGTAAAGTTATTTAGTGTTATTTTGAATACATCGATAACCAGCATCTCCCTGACCTTCGCAATGCAGAATACTTCACCATACTATCTAGTCGGGTGATATTAGTTAAAGCTATCGTTACATGCCTGCAGAGCTAACGCTAGCTAACCGACTGACCAGTTACTCGATAAACACAACACAATTTCGAGAAATCTGACAAATCCAACACTAACTTAACGATGTGATGAGCGAATTTACACCGTGAACCTGCTGAGTATGAACAGCTTTTGCTATTGGATTAACGCGAAAGGTTAGCTCTATGGCAAATCCAAACCACAACCCAAATAAACAAACAGCCTTGCCTAGTTGCGGGCCTTGACCCTTGTCCCTCACAGCTAACTTTGACAGGCCTCCCTCTTCCATGGTCTGCTAACGTAACGCTGAAGCAAGGAGAACCCTTGGCCTTGCTAACGTAGTATGGCTACAAGCTAACTTAGCCAAGGTAGCTAAGTGCCAAACGTTCCTCTACAGTTGCTGATTCAAGCGTAAACATTTTATTACTTACCAAATTTTCAAAATACCAGTTGACAGCAACGGAAGCTGCGACAGTGACCAGGACTGACTGGCCGCAGTTCACACCAGAGAGGGTACACCGACGAAACTAGAGGGTTTGCGGCGGTTTAGCTAGGCTAGCTAGCCAGTTAGCTAGCAATGAGCAATCGTCACTCAAGACTCAGTGCATATAAATTGTGTAAGTGCGGAGGTCCCTCTTGGCGAACGCCCGTGTTGCATTACATTATCTCAGCTGGCGATCTTAAGTATATTCTAACAGATTTTCTTGTAAATTTGTGGGCCGGAGCTTTGAGTGGCCAAGCCAGGGGGAAGCTGAAACGTCTGTCCCAGCCTCTCCACTTGACAGCTTGACAGCTTGCTAGCTAACGTTAGCTTCTGAGGAGCACAGAGCCACTGAGACAAGACCCGGATGTTGCAGGTTGCGTACTCGAAAACATGACATCATCCCTGAAGAGTTGTGGCTGCTCAGGCTACTACACAGAAGGCATGTATACAACAATATTTAAATGTCCCACATCTGTATTTGGATTGATGTCGGCTTGATAAAAATCGATCTTGCATCTAGAGTGATGTGCGTTTGCTGTGCTCTACTGTCATTAAATGATTAAATTAACTATAGGCTTGCAATAATTTAGCCATAGCCAACTGCATGGTCCTCACAGATAATAAGAGAAAATTCTAATCTGAAATAGATGCATAGCCTGTTTCCCCAACAAAAGCTTAATACAGGTCTACAGTATGTCCTTAATACCACGAAACACTCACCGTCAACTAGTGACGAACATGAGACAACCAGTACTTCACAGATTATTTTTTTTAGATTTGAATATGCCTTGTGTAATGGTAATGTTCAGGATTCTGCTGTAGAACAATCTGTACCTTTCATAAAAGAGCCCAGTGTCACGATCACCATTTTTAGCTTCTCTTGTTCATTCTCTGTTGACCAGTGCATAATGGGGCCCTGGACTATTTTTTCATCTTTCTCTTTGTTACACAATGCTTTGAATACTGCTCATTTTAATATTGTAAAGGTCAGCTTGTCTTATTTTGCTTTTCCATCTCTGTTCTGACAGAGAATTTAGTTTTGAAACAATGATTACTTTTAGAGAACCAGCAAGTTCCTGTGTAAACGTTGTTTACAGTTCATTATTGCAAAAAGCGACATTAACCACAAAGGACAGTTTCAGCAACCCCAAGAGGGCAGGAAGGATGAACACTATTGCCTAAGAAATTAAAAATGATATATAATCAGGAATGACTGAAGGTGCAACAGAAATCCAGACTTTTATCTCACCCAATAAAAGCTAAAGTCATCGAGAACCCTGAGGGTGACCTTTATAATCACTAAATTGATCATCATAAGTTGATCACTGATTAAGTAAAAACGGCGGTGCTTCCACCACTACATTAATGTTAATTTACGTATCTCCATCTTCTGCAGGTGCTGATTTTTAATTTCCGAAGCTGACAAGCCCAGAGCTTTAATTTTGAAAGTATGAGAGCGGAAGTGTCGTCATATCCGTTGGTTGTAGTTTTTTTGGTAGCAGCTTGTTTATAGTAGCTACTTAAGTCACAAGGTCTGCGTTGTACAGCTCATTCATTTCAAACCAATGGACTGTTGCATTGTATCCGCATTGTGGTGTTTTATACCACTTTATTTACTCATTCACTTCTTGTGTTTCATTTTCGTGGATGCAGACTTCACCCTGTTGTGGGCAAGTGTGATAGGACACAGGCCAGGTGAGTTCACTAAACCTGTGCTTGTGTCTATTATTTTGTCCCGATTCTTATTCACAAACAAGGGACATTCTATTCCATGATGAGTATGGGCAGTTTGAACCGTTAAACAGCGGTTAAACAGTAATTAGCTTTTCAGGTTTGACCCGTGGCTGTAACTCACACTAGGCTCCTCTGAAATCTCCAAAATTCACATTCCACTTTTTATATGTTGTGAATTTCACCTAAATCATTAAATTTCAGTGTTGTCAAATCAGGGATTCACAATCGTTTTCGTATAAAGGTCCAGTGGTGAGAGTATTTGAGACATTTTACTGTAGTAGTAGTAGTAGTAGTACCACAACGCAAAGGTTGAGTTACAAATAAAAGTACTACATGCACAATTACTATAAACGGAAGGTACAGAAATACTACAGGAAAAATATTGAAAGTAAAAGTATTCATCATTCATATTGTGCTGTAGGATTATTACTACTGCATTAATGTGTAAACATCTTGTCAAGATGGAACTAGTTTTATGTTTTGAATGTAAAATATTAATCTTAAAAGTAACAAGTGTTGTGAAAATGAATGTTGTGAAATAATTACAAAAATATTTTTCTCTGAAATTCAGTGAAGAAAAATATGAAGTAGTAATCGAAGGACACACTTAAAGTGCCCCTAACTCGTACCCAGATACAATACATACATAATACATTTTTTACACTGAACACCTCCAATACCTAAGTTACATAAAAGTACCCCAAAAGTGTATTAAGTGCAAGACACCCATTTTCCATTGTATTCAGGTGTCTCAGTAAGCTGCAACAGAGTGACAGTGAGCCAGTGCAATAATAATGTACAAAACAAATGTTTCTATATGAAATGCTGATAGTTGTGATTTGTGTTAACCAGAAAGCAAGCTGAAAGGACTGGTGGTGTGGGTCACTGGAGCCTCCAGTGGTATTGGAGAGGAGCTGGCCTACCAGTTGGCAAAGTGTGGGTCACGTCTCATCCTGTCCGCTCGACGCGAGGATGAGCTGAATAGGGTGAAACGTCACTGTTTAGGTGAGAGAATAAATACTTTCACTTCAACCCTTAAACACACTACAGTATAACACAGTCATATCTCTGCCATAAGACTTAGTGATCTTCGTTTTTCCTGCAGTTAACCTTCGCTCTCAAACCTACAATAAATTGCATAATGGTTTGGTTCATTTTCTTTCAGTCTTACTTATTTGTAACAGCTGAATTAATTTCATCATTTATTCTTAAGATTACGCTGGTCTCCATGATGAAGATATTCTTGTTCTTCCACTTGATTTGTTGGAGAGGACATCACATGAGGAAAAAACCAAAGCTGCAATCCAATACTTTGGACATGTAAGGCCACTGCAATTGCTCTTTTATAATACAGTCCATTTTCATCCTTAGTTCCATTGCAATAAGAACATTCCTGTTTCTACATTGTATTCAAAAGATAAAATGTTCACTTTACATTGTTGTTCTCTTTTCATTATACTATGTGCAGATGTAATCATGACCAACCCAAAGTATTCTGTCATTCATTGTAAGGTAAAATAAATAATTGCTGTTGTTTTCCTTGTCTCTGGTTCTGTCCACTTTTCTGTGCCTTTTCAGATCGATATCCTAATTAACAATGGTGGCCGAAGCCAGCGCTCTCTGTGCTTGGAGACCAGTGTTGACGTGTACCAGGCCTTGATGGAGCTCAATTTCTTGGGTACAGTCTCCATCACCAAGCAGGTCTTACCTCACATGACACAGCGAGGAACTGGGAGCATTGTGACTGTAAGCAGTGTGGTTGGCCTTGCTGGGGCGCCCCTGGCAACAGGATACTCTGCCAGCAAACATGCTCTGCAGGTGAAAGGAATACAGACAACAACTAATTTGATTTACTTAATGCCAGCTTGTGTAGAGAGTGCATATTTAGTGTATTCTGTGTTTGGTTTGTACACCAGGCTTCAGCTGTTTTACATAGACGCAGGTCTGGTTTGTCTGGATGTACTCTATGTTGTAGTACTTCAGTATATTAAATAAATCACTTTACAAGTGATGACCTGTCTGGACCACGGTGGATTCTGTTGATAGTTACTTTATTTTCCACAGGGTTTCTTTAATTCCCTTCGAACTGAGCTGACTGACTATCCAAACCTACTCATCAGCACAGTGTGTCCGGGGCCTGTGCAGTCACAAATTGTCCACAATGCCTTTACAGAAGAGCTGAACAAGGTAATGCTTTTTATTCATTAACACAAAACTTAAAAATCCTGTATATTATCTGTATTTCATATGTGTGATGTGATATGACAGTAGCTATTTCAGTAGTTTGGTTTCAATAACCTTTTTTCCTTCCATTACCTAAGCCTGTGGCCATAGCTGGTAACCAGGAACACAAGATGCCAACAAGTCGCTGTGTGCGTTTAATGCTGGTGGGAATTGCCAACAATGTCAAGGAAATGTGGATCGCACAGCAGCCCTTCCTTCTGTTTTACTACGCCTGGCAGTACACTCCCACATTTGCCTGGTTCATCACAAACATGTTGGGCAGGAAAAGGGTGCAGAATTTCAAAGCTGGTGTGGTAGGTATATGATGATGTAACCTTTTGAGAGAGCTACATGTACAAATTTAATATGGTATAGATTCAATCTAAGCATAGGCTTATTGTCAGGGTGGCATACCTGGTGTAAGGGTGAAAAAAAAAAAATGAATTTCACTACCTCTAATACCTCTAACAAAATATGATTTCTCACCTAATTATTGATAAAAAAAAAAAAGCATATAAGGGTATTTCCAAAAGTGTCGAACTATTCCTTAAAAGAATCAGCTAAGGTCAATAAACTCTAACTTAAAGGAATCATAAATTTGTCCCATCTTAACAGCTGCAACAACACAGGAAAGATGTAGCTACATGCTTACACAGTCGCAGGAAGAGATTTAATCAGCCAAAACAAGTGGAAACTTCTGTTTGGGATATACCATTGGTGTAGAGGACCTTTAAAATCATTCCCCATACTACTGCTAAATCATTTTCTATATTCAAGATGTATGCACACCTGGTCAAAGTCAGTTAAAAAGGCACACTACTCAGAACTCATCAGAAAGCACACAAATTTGACAGGATATACTTGTGTTTTATGTATGCTCAGCCTTGCTGTTGCACTCTAAGGTCGACCTTGCTCCATTTGAACTGGGATCGGGGGATTCTCACTGTGTGAACGGACTGAAAGTACTTGAATAGAGCAGAACGTGCCAGACACAAAGCAGAGCTGTCTCTTAACAGCTGGGGGGCCTCAGCTGTTGCTGACCTTGCTTGAGTCTAATAAGAAGACGGTGGCCAGGGTATGACAGTGAGCATGACTACTTCCCGGCGGTGCTGACTGACTGACTGACTGACTAGTGTGTCTGGTGGCCTCTGCTGGACAGTGACAGCTGAGGGCCATGCAGAAAGGTCATGTTCCAACTGGCCAGACATCAGAGCGTCACATGCTCATGCTTCAGTAGGGTCTATGATGTATTCTTTTGAGACGAAAAAATAACCTGCCGCCTGGAGTCTATGTAAGTTAATGTTAAACAGTATTCCTAACCAGTGAAGTCATTGCACTTAAAGCAGTATCAGGGTCATACCTGTGACCGCCACACATTTACTCTAGATTTACAAATCTAAAAAAGACAACTTTCATGCTCAGGTAAAAATGATACAATTTTGATTTCATTCACAGTAGTCAAACATGAGTGCTAACAGTCAGCTTTTTCTTTTGCAGGATGCAGATTCTGCATACTTCACTAAGCCTAAGACCTCCTGAAAGTCTCATCTGGAAGAGGAAACTTGTTCACTGCATTCCTAATGTCTGACCTGAATTTTGAAAGGGGTTTCCTGTTAAATCTTTGGGATTTTCACCTTCATTTAGAAGGGAAAAAATGTAAGCTCACAACTGCTTTGAAAGCTTGGAGCTCTCCTCCCAAATCATGGCAGTGTCTGACAAACATGGATACATTTTTGTTCTGTTATGCTTTCATCTCAAAACTCAATAAGTAAATCCTGTATTTAATGTGTATTTGTAACAAGCATCTTCAGATTATGTGAATTTCTGGCACAGGGCCTATATGAATTTATGAAACTAGGGCTAATGACTACATGTAAGACTGATGAGGTACTTGCACTAACCTTTTGAATGGCTAATAAAACTTAGTTTGGATCAGTCTTCTGCCCTGGCAAGTTTGTACAGTTAAATGCAACAAAACTGCTTCTGCCAAGCTATTTTATTATAAGTATATACAGTTACACATATAAAAATCAACAATATGTACAAGAGACTATGGACATAATCATTTAACTCTTTGTTCTAAATTGTAAACAAGTGAATTGTAAACAAAACAACAGCACTAAACACCTTACGCATACAGCAAGACATACCCAAGGCACATCCTTGATATCTTCAACAAAACATTAAAATTCTTGTCCCTTTTTTGTGGACGTGGAGAGGAAATTACCTGAAAACTGTGAAATCTAAAAAGTACAATAAAATCAGAGGTATTCGGCAGGTGTCTGCTAAAGGGGAGGTGGGGAAATATATTCACTTTTCTTTGAAAGCACAATCATTAATAAAGAAACCACAAAATGTATGTGCTTCAATGGAAACCTATCAGTGGTCAACTCTTTCATGATACAAATGTTCAAAGGGAACTTTTCTTTTTGAGTGTGCTGTTGTAGAAAGTAGTCCATGTTGCCAGTTAAAATCTGTTAACATGATTATGCAACTTCCACAAGAGTACAGTGGTGATGCCACTGCTTCTTCCTCTGAGATGCAGGAAATGAAGCACCAAAAAAAGTCAAATTAATGTTGAAAAACAATGTAGGTTCCCATTCAGACATCACTCTTCTGAACTCATGAGTCAACAGCTTCAAAAGTAAAACTTCAAAACTGATTGAAGTTTTCTCTTTGTTTTGCTATAGTTTCCACATAAATTTCCTAATAACCACTAACTTTGGAAATTGATGTTTTGCTGTGGGAGTACCGACTGAAAAATACGCTCTTAAGAGTTTGTCCTTGTGTTCAGAGGCAAGGGAAGTGAAGGGGGGCTGAGGAGTAAATGGGGTATCCTAAAGGGGGATCGGCTGCCTGAACAGTTAAGTTTCTTAGCATGAAGGGGTGAGCCTGGATGCTGTAACGCTCCTCATCATCATTAGTAGCATACAGGAGCTCCCAGGAAAGGTTTGCCCACTGTCCTCGTACCCCCTCTCCATTTAGACGGCCCACCTGCACCAGCTGCTCCTGCAGGGACAGGACTCGCCCTGTGTAAGTTCCCTGTGGACAAGAACAGTCAGTCATAAAAATGTAAAAACCAACATTTCACTGCGATTGGCTCTAAATTGAAATTTTAAATAACCTCAATTTTATGCCAATGATTGAATAAGAATTTTCTGTAGGAAAGGTTCTCACCAGACGTACTTTTATATTTTGTAGCATAGACAGAATGTGAACAAGGGCTGGTGTGTGTAATTACCATAGCGAGGTCATGACCTAGAGAGAATAGGAAGGGCTTCTCCTGAAGGACACTGTCATGCCAGCCTTTTTCTGTCACCAGGCCGATGTACCAGTCTCTTTCATATTCCTCCAAGGTGCTGAAGAATTCCTCAGGCGACTCCATGGGCCCTAGGCTAGCTTGATCAAACAACAGCTTGAAACTGAACCTGAAAGCAAACAAAACCATAGAGACAAAATTTAATGAAATATAAATAGTGTTTTTTTTCTGGCATAAATAAGCTCTAGTGATCAGAACTACCAAAACCTGGAAACTAAATGTAAATTTTACCTGAAAGCCCGAAGAGCAAGCTGATAAAGTTCTTTACTTGAAGAGAGCCAGTCAAGCCCTTCTGTCCATGGTACATCTCCACAATAGAGCCTGTAGACGTAACTGGGACTGGTGAAGGCAGACTCGGCCCCCAGTGAGATGAGACATGAAAGTGCGACCTGAGCATGCAGTTCTTTCAAAGCTTCATCCTCCTTCAGGGCTTTGGTCATGTCCTCTGAGGTCTCGCTCTGCACAGCAGGCCCAAAGCGCCCTAGAGTAAACCGAAACCAGTCCTCAGGAAACAAAGGCCTGAGCTGCAACAGGCGGGATGGTAGCAACGGTGCTGTCCTCCACCCTGTTGGTAGGTTGAATACCTCTGACTGAGGGCAGCTGAAGCTCAAATGAGGGACAGAGCCGGGACTCTCCCTGAAGACCTCTGGTGTTCGGCTTTTATCTACTGCTGGCATCCCGATGCCAAGTCCCAGAGGCTGCAGAGGTTGCAAGGCGGAGAGAGCCATGTTTTCAAAAAGACTGTCCATCTCCACAGATCCCGGCAGAGAAGCCCCTGTCTGCAGCGCTGTGTGTCCAGGCTGGACCTCTGCAGTCACTAACGCCACTGTCCGCCTGGCTGGTTGAGGTCCAAATAAGTCATCCTCATCTGACCAATCCCCAAAGGAGGTCAAGCTGGAGCTGTCCTGTCTAAACCTGAGAGAAGACACATTGGATTCCACCATGACAGCCTCAGGTGGCTGGTTGCAGGCAGTCTGGGCCAACTGGGAAGACTGGGACTTCCTGCCTCCAACCCCTGGCCCTTCTTCACTGCTCCATAGAAATCCTTTATGCTTCTGAACACAGTATCGAAGGAGCAACCAGACCAGCGCTTTAAGAAAGTCATCCTGAAGTTTCCTCAAGTTGTCATGAGAGTCAATGATGCCAGAGAGCACATTTCGGGCGTCGGAGTAAACTCGAACTGCAAGGGCAGCACAAGGGGTGAGGGCATTCCCCCAGTGCAGGTTAAAGCCCTGGGTGAAGCCAAGCCGTTCAGGGCGCTCAAAAGCAGCCTCGAACACCTCATCTACCCTCCGTGCCTCCACTGTGTGGCAAGATGTCTCCTGCAGCTCCAGACCCTGTAACAAACCACACACCATAATGTAATCTTGTTGTAAATCTTGACGCAGTGATCCTTAATAGACATACATAAAGATACAGTACCTTAATGTTGACTGTACAGTAGCCATATCCTCTCTCCAGGATCATTATCCAAACCATACGGTCCTGAAAGCGGCCCAGAAAATGAGAGCCTGGGGCTAAAGAACCTAGAAAGGGGGAGAAAATAATCAGTCATCCATGTATCTAACATGTCTGATATGTGATTTGTAAATTCCGGGCAGTGAAGAAGAAAACAGACAATATATACATCATGCAACACATGGGGAGTCCTGGCACGCATCCCTTTCATTTTGCATCAGCTGTGCGTCCCTCTGCTGACTATGTGGATAACATGGCTAGTGGATGAGCTGCAGGGAGACGTGTACCATCACAGTAGTACAGGAAGGTCATGATACTATTTTAACTGGCTGACTGCACAGAGATCTAAATATTAAATCTCTTCTTGGCCTTAGCTTTCCATTAGTCTCTAAAAATTCACTCCTTTTATGCAATTTTGACTTTTCATTTTGGGAGGCAGAAGACAGCAGACAGACGTTTATTTCAACACAGATGAACAGCAGTGGCAAGGTGATGGAGGCTTTTGTTTTAAGTTGACTAGCGCTTGCTCTGCTCAAGGATAATGTCATGTCCCATAACTACATCTCAGAATAGACACAGCCGCTTCCTCATGATGGGAATTGACACACTAGGCTTCTTTCCTGCTCACTGCTTCCCAGCCCCCAGTGTAAGTAAAGCAAAAGAACATTACAAACAGCCATCGTTAGACTGCGAGTATCAACTTAACAAGTGCTTATTCTGAATTATATATCACAGCTATAGCACCCCAAGCGCACAGAAAAAAAGAAAAATAAAACAAAACAGGAAGACTGAGTGATGACATTACCTCAGCGGTTTTATTCAGTTTTGACTCATCAGTCCATAAATAATGATTCTCTACTTGCACTGTTTTTTCTCTTGCCCCCTCCTGATCGAGCACATAACAAAATCCTAGCAGCAGCTCCGTTTGGCCTAAGAGTATTACGCAGTTAATGGTGTGGAAACATTTGGATGTAATGAATACAGATCAGAGCTTTTTTTTTTTGGGTCACTTCACAGGAAGCTCAACTGGATCATGCAAGCTCACATTACTGCCAGCAACTCCACAGAGCTGCTCACAACAACATTCCTCTTACTATTAAACCATATGAGGTGATGCTTCAATGCTCTATGATCTGCATACAGTCCCTACTTGACCCATGGGAAAGTTCAGTCACTGCAATCATAGTACAAGTCAAAACACATTAAAGTAAAAAAAAACAAAAAACAATAAACAAGTGTGTATAAAAAACAACAACTTTTGATTTTTCCAATTGATGAGCTTATGAATTAAAAAATGACCAATTCCAAATATTTTCATTATAAATTAATAATTCTAGTTATTTACTGACAATCCCAAAAACAACATAGAACAAGATGACAACTCATCGGTGAGCTCATTTTTCACAGTCTTTTTAACTTTTAAGCTGGGAAACACACAGTCCTCCCCGCAGCCCTGAGAGGACCTGGAGCTGCTTTTAAATAAAAACAATAGCATTGTTCTAAGAAAATAATTTAAATCTGATAAAAATATACTTGTACGCTCTCAATGAACGCTATAATAGAATATTTAGAGAGAATTACAGATCTTATAAATGCTAAAATAGTAAACACTGTTTGCTTGGAACATTTGAGAAAGATTAAAAAAGGAAGACACCACAGACAGGGGAGATATCAAGCATGCACAACTAACCCAGTGACCCTCTTGCAAAGGCCATCCTCAGAGCTGAGGCCAGACTTCCGCTCATCTGCTGGTAGAAGATTGAGTCTGGGCAGGGACAGGCAGTACCCACAGGCCCCGGCCAACTGCGCTGAGGCCTGGGGAACCCTACCAGGAAGATGGGCAGGGTGAAGAGGGGCAGCAGAGGGGCAGAGAGCAGGGCAGACAGGGTCACTACCGCCAGCAGCAGCGGGCATAGAGAGGCGTTCACAGCCAAGAGAGTTCCAGCTGACTGACGACGCTGCTTCTTCTCTGTCCAAGATGTCACCAACACAGTCAGGGTGAACTTTAGCTTGGCCAGGAACTGGGTCAATCTGTCAGTCAGTAAGCCCACCTGGATCAGAAACACACAGGCAAACATGAGGAGCGCTGAGCTACTGAACCACCATCAAGTCTTATCAGCAGATGTCTGTGTAATATACAGTATGTTTGATTGATTTTTGCTTCACTTTTTTTTTTCTTTTTTACTTTGTGTTAAGTTAAGCTTTGTTTCCTTTGGTTAGCTATTCATTAATAATAATGTATTATTAACTGATGTATTAGATACACATTTCAATGTAATTAAGTCCTCTAAAACACCATCAGTCACCATCGACCTTAATAATAAACACCTCATTAACACCTCTCTTGACAGTGTCAACAATAAACCTGAACACAAATTCTAGAGTTTGTGGCAGATCTGTTGTATTGAATAACAATAAATTAATAAATCATCCGTGGAGTGTATTTTGCATTTTTTCCCCCACTGTGACTCTATACTTACCTGAAAAAATGTTGCAATATTGGGAAAAAGGGGGAAAGATGCTATCAGTACTCGTGATGATATTCCATATTTAAGTTTTGACAAGATTTTGGTATAAATGTCGAAAACAAATTGCTTATGTTCAGAAATTAACTATCCCATGCACTGTCAACAGAACAATGTGCCTTTCACAGCTCTGGTGTAAAAATTAGTGAGATGTGTAAGCACTGTTTAGGTCAGATTTAAGCCTGTGCGGATATGATTTAATGTATAGGGCAGAAACAGTAAGGGTCAAATTAAGGCTGATCTCACCAGAAGAAGCTGAACTCCAGTTCCCAGGTTGTCCCACCCTGGCAGCATATTGTTTCCAGCTGCAAGCCGCACTAAGACCACCACCACCATTTGGAGCAGAGCATCCTCTGAGCTCTGCCACACCTGCACAGAGCAACCACTATGCTGAGCATGACAGGCACAAATCTCAAGTGAACAACACTCAGGAATGAATCACAGTTAAGTTTAATGTAAAAAAATA